TCTTCCAGACTCGAAAAGTCCATATCCTAGCTTGGGCTACATTTCCTAGGAGGCAAACATTTCTTATGTTCGCCGTAGCTGTACGTCGGATGCAGATTCTCCACCCATACTCAGTATGGCATACTGCGACTCTTACTCGTATAACGCAAGCGGACGAGGACATCAAGTAGTACACTCGATCATTGAGAAAACATGATAGAAATATGTTGTCGTCTAAACCAATGGTTTCCCGTCGATCCAAGAGAGCTCAACGTCAGAACGCGACGAGTTGCTATCAACTGCTTTACTCCGTGTTGCACGCGAGTCGAACCTGGAACGAGAAGCTCGGCACGATATGGAAGAAGGTGTCGCGCTCAGTCCCCATCATGCCCAAGATATAGATCTCACAGTTGCAGTTTCTCCAGGTCAGGCAGCTCGTCAGGCATTTGTTTCGCACATCCTCCGAACTGCTTCGTCGTAAGCATCGCCACGAATGCATCCCAAAAACTCGGCGTTCCTCGCTCATTCAATCGCTCAGCGCGGACAACCAATTCACTGAGCTCCTCTGTACTCAGACGCGGAGCTCGCTCGCACCGTGCATTGTACTTTTCAGGCCCGAGCCGTTGTTCATACCTATTGCAGTGCTTCCTGGCCAAAGCAGGCATGTTGGATGGTCCCTAAATATCGGAAATAGGGGCAGGGCTGTGTGCACACTGGTTGCCAACAACACGCCGTCATTTACGCTCCTGAACATTGCCTTCTCTACATTGCAGTTCACTGGCGTGCTATCTCTATTGTTTTGGAAGCGAATACGAAACATGCTTCGTCACGAAGAGCCCGAGCCTCGACAATGAGCTCACGTTCAGAGGCTTGTCATGCAAGGGCAAGCAAGACGACCCAACAAGAGTGGAACGAGCTTTCGCGTCGCGAATTATATTGTTAGCCACCCACACCGGGTATTCCTGTCTGGGAGGCAGGCCGGACCAAACTCGATGTAGTGGGAAGACGTCCTCCAGAACCGTTGCATTCCGTACGAGCCTGAAACATGAGCAAAACTGAAGTCCACAAGTCAGGACATCCCCACTTGAGCTCAACCGCTCCACAATTTTTGTCGGCATCCGCGGCGCAGTTTTCCTCAATAAGGCATTCCTTGCCGCCCGACAGGTGTTTCCACGGCTGTGTCAAACCATACTCTTTCGGACCCTTCGGACAGAGCACCCAGCAATGGCTACCTCGCACGAAGCTAGTGATGACGTGTATGCGCCAAAAGCCGGATCAAGCTCACACGGTCTTCTCAGAAAAGCCCTTCCCGTTACAGCTTATGCGTCCCCCGCTATGTTGGAGGTGATTAAACACGTGCCGTAACGTCAATCCTACTCATCGATTACGACTGGAACGATCTGTTGAATTTTCCACTACCCATGGTTTTAGCTTTAGGCAGTACGATGTTGATGTCCAAGTCTGAGTCAACCAAGTCCCATTTCCCTTTCGGCATGTGACCGAAAAACGCGCCGTGACGTATGATAGAAATCGCGTTTCCTTGCACGATCCAATATCTGTTTATGGTCGTTGACGGTCAGTATATTCGGGCACGAGCACACACCTGAGGCCACACCCGATGTGCTCCAGCACGTGCAAGGCGAATCTATATCTGCGATAAATCCATGACCTCGACCGTCTTTGCTGCACACCTATCGCTCTGGTACTCCATGAAAGGCGTATACTCGTCGTCCTCGAAGCTGGGAGCATCAGAAGCGCGGTCTCGGCTCTTCACAAGGCGGAAGGATTCCTCAAGGCACATCGGGGGTATCGGTTCTAGATTGCAGAAAGTGTCCGGATCAGGAGGAATGTATGCTATCGAGTGATTCAAGGTCTGTGGAAATCCGCCACATAGAATGTCGTCTCCAATTACGCCCCGAACAACGTCGTGGAACGGGCATGTGAAGTTGGGCTTGGTAGCAGCGAACCGATAAGATAGGAAATATTTGGCGCAACCCCTGCTAATGGGTTCTTCCGAGAGATCGGTCTCGAGAGCAACCGTGGAGTCGGAGGGAAGGAAGTACCATCTGGCAGGCCGTAACAAGAGGGAACCTAGGCAAGCTGCTCTCCAGTGGGAAGAACCAGAAAACAGCTTACATGTTCCGATGACGACAATGCTCCATAGAAAAAGGCGGGCGGAAGTGACCACCTTCGAGGCACAGTCTGACGTGGCCGATGTCATATTGACTATCAAGTTGCAAGGAAGACTCATTCAGGAACCACTTCGGGTGGTGGTATAAGACGTAACTCCTTCCTGGAGCTGCTTCTATTGTGCTGGAGCAGTGGTGGGTCTACTAGCCGCTATATCCCATAGTCTACGTACCACGTATGGAAGCGAGCCATTCAGCCTCAGCCCCTTACGATTCCCAAGTGATTACTCCGAGCCCGGGGAATCTAATTTCCAGATCCGACTCAGGATTTTGATCTTACCTCTTGGATCGAAATTGTTATTTTAAGGATCTCAGGGCGTTCGAGCGCCTTCACCGATACGATGACCCGGCCTCGAACTTCGAGGCCCGAAGTTGGCCTTCAAATTTCAACACGAGCACCGATATCGATTAGATGGGCGCACGCGTATGCATCGATTTCCGAACTGCGAGAGGAAGTTGCTTGCCGAAGAAGTGGCATTTCTGAAGTGCTCTCAGTTGTAAACTTATGAGCCGCGTTCACTTTGCTCCTCCGACGACACTGCATGTCACAGTTGAAGAAAGCCGAGGTCGGCGAAAGCCGAGAAAAGAGTCCTCAAAGGGAAAATCGAGGCTCAAATCGGACGTAACCACTGAAGACCTCATTGAGTCATTGGAAACTTCTCGCTCTCGCGAAGCGTCAGATCGGTCTTCGCGACGGAAACACAAAAGCAGAGAGAGAAAAACCTCCCCCGAGAGGAGCCGCTCGCCGCTGCGATTGTTGAGGAACCGTGCCAGGTTGGGGTTAGTTCCCTCGTTAGAAAAAGAGCGAACAACGTCGAATCATGCCTCTCGGAAATCTCTTCGGGGTGGAAACGATGTCGAAGTATGGCGAGAGCGTTGGAGACGCACGGAAGCTGCTGTGAAACTCCAGGCTGTCTTCCGTGGAATAGTAGTGCGTCGAATCCTAAACGTCCGTGCAAGACGCCGTCGGAGGTTCCGAGCGCTTATAGTGGCAGCTACTGGAGCTAAGATGCTCTTAGCGCGAGTGCGGAGGAGAATTCGAGCAGCGAAATTGATCCAGGCCGTTCATAGAGGGGGTCAAGTCCGGTCTAGAATATCGCAAATGCTAGCAAAACGACTGGAGTGGGCGCTCACTTTTATACAGAGACTTTGGAGGATTCGGAGGGCTGCCATAAGAATACAGTCTTATTTCCGAGGCTGGCGACAGTGGATCAAATTCAGAGAGATTTTAGCCGGGGATGGTATGAAGCAATTTGTCGTGAGACGCCATGAGAATCTTGTACTGAAGGCAACATTGGAAGGCGGGGAGATGCGGGTTCGATTCCCGGTAGGGACATGTTGTCTGGTCTCTATAAACTCTGGCTTGTGGCGTCTTCATACTGATGGAAACGCCAATCCGGCCGGCGAGCTGAGGCTGCGGGGGCGCGGAAGAGTCTACTGCAGCACACCATCGGTCATTTCAGTGCTGCCTCCCATAGGGAAAAGGTCTAAACTCGGACCCATCAGCCGTGGAAAATTTTTCTCATTGTTGTGGATGCTTTCGGGCGATGCGAGCCACGCTTTATTACTTGGAAACCGGACTTTCACGATAAACACGAGGGACACGAAGCTAGTAGTGTCCGACACTGCTGGTCTCGATGTAAGGCGGTATAGTCTAGCGAGTGCGCGAGGATCTTTGGGTATCTTTCTGGAAGTGGTCGGGAGGTCAACGCTCAGACTCAGTCTACGTATGTCTGAGGGGAAATGGCTAACGGTGAGGGAAAGAGTACGTGGCTGGGAAGAATTCAGAAAATTTAAACTCTCTGGCGGAGCGAAGCTGGGCGATGCTTGTCCCGTTATTCCTGAGGAAGTTCTTGGGGGCGAGAATAGTCTTAGCACACTCTCGGTTGAACCCGGTGTGGGACGAGGTGTTGGAGAGCACGGTGTCTACACACTGAGTAACACCACATACAGCCGCGATTCTGTGATTTCGGGCGAAAATCCTGGACCGAGGCATTCATTGCTGATGACGAGGTAATGGAAAGTATACCACTAGTGATTATTCAATTGTGTATAGGTCTGCCACAACGCACCTTCGAGCACCCGATGCGCCTATATCGGCGGCCAAAGTCTTCCAGAAGTCGATGGACTTTCTCCAGGAGAGCAGCTACAGCAGTAGTAGCGTGTCGTCTGTGACAAGCTTTAGCAGCGAACCACGTGGAGACCGGAAAATGATGCGAGGGTGAGTTTTGGTTGAGGAGAGACGACGTAAAATATCCTTACTGGTATTGTACATACCCCATGAGCCTTTCCAAGGGTCCTCTAGGGAACACGAAATGTATGACAAAACAGAATGAAAACATATAATGGAGTTTCACCCGTGAAATGAGAAACACTAGTGAAAAGCATATTTCACTTGGCGGAAAACAATGGTGTTATCGGTCGCGGAAACATATACGTCTAATAATTGACATGCAGTATTACACCACTTCACGTTAAACGGGTGGAACCCCAATGACTTATAATACCAAAAACATGAGAAAATACATAACATCCTTCCAGTGACAAAATTCTTTTTATGAGAACAACTCTCAACGACGAGTTTAACGGAATTTCGTATGTAGTGTTTGTCATCAGGGCTTCAAGCGCGATCCGCTGTCAAGGCCTGAGGGTGTTTCTGAGAACCCCTGCGCCCCGACTGCCCTGCGATGATCCTTGTGGAGTATCATGGGCAGTGACACACGCTCCCTTGGCAGAACTAATTGGCGGACGCAACGGTCAAGACGTCTACAGGTGAATAGGGCTCTCCACAGTCGAGAATCTCGACTGATAACTCGACATCATGATAATGATAATGAACACTGATAATCTCAAATCGAGATCAAACGCGTTATCACTGACTTCTTCAAACGTGTAGGTCTTTCAAAGTTTCGGTGAGAGGTGTACAAAGTTTTCCCACGGATGACGGTCACCATGGAATGTTCGGCATCGGATTCTCCACGCGAGACGACTTTCATGAGATACCCGGAAAGAAAAGTAGGGGTCCAATCACGACGCTGTGCCTTGTCACCCGTTCATAATGCTATGTACGTTTCACATGGTCATTTTTCAGATATTTGTCTCTTTGGATACAACTTCAGCAGTTCTAGTAGAAATACGGTGAACACTAGTCAACGACGCACGTTGTACACAACCTTCTACGACGGTCGGCAGTGGAGGAAACTGGAGGAGTCGCTACTGCCAGAAGTTGGCGATGAAGTTGAACTTGTGAGAAAAGATCGATCCAGATCGTTTCGCTTTACCATTCCTTCCTACCATAGATTCTCATCGGCGGCCGTATCTGTGTGCTGGTAAACCACTGGGCCGTCTTCGTCAGTGACGAGATGGACGCATCACTACTCAGACGGATGAGATCACAACGAGTGTAAGCATGCGGATCGTTAACGCTAGTTTGAAAACGGCGAGATTGTAACTTGCCAGGTACGGGATTGTTGACCTTTGCGGGGGACCAGTGTACGATTTGACATGCCAGCCCAATTCTGAAATCGATCCGTCTGTGCTTGCAGCATTGAAAGCTAAAAAGCCGACGCCGCTTATGCCCATTCACGCGTAAACATACCAGTGGGGCTTCCGCTCTTGCCAAGCAACTTGCTTGCTGCAACGTGATGATAACATGCCAACGATGTGCTTTATCATAATCAGTGTGTTGTGTTCTCACCTATTACACTCAATGCATTCGCCACTTCGTAAATATGTGAATTTGCATGTGTAAACAGAATGGGATTGACCTCGCATAATCGCCTTTAGGTTAACCGGGTAGTAATTGACCTCGGCACGCAATTCAGAAAATCTACTACTCAAATAGAGAAAAAATTTTGAGACAACTAGGAGACGCGGAAACGATTGATCGGGAAACGGTTCTACGTTAAAGAATAGGACAGTGCGAACAGGCTTAAATGTGACGAGCAAATACACCATCCAATATAACGAGACTTCACAACTGAAACGATAAGTCAATTTAGATGCTCACAGTCTCACTCGAAAATACGGGAACAATCGAGCAAAACCTGAGCGACAGAGGCTTCCGGGTGGACCCGGAGAGCATCACGAGGTTAGTAAGGCGCGCTAGCAAAGGTCATGGGGTTCGACCTGACCGGGGATGCGTCCATTGAGAGAAGGGGAAATCGGCACGCTCCAGTGTACCTGTCGGGCAGCACCATAAAATTGAGCAATCGATAGTGCAAGGAAGGGCGACTTCGGAGCTTCATTAAACGATCAAGTCAACTAGAAGACCACCGAAAGCGAACATGATCATTAGTTGTCAATCATAACAAGTAGCCGCTACACGGTGAATTTCTACTAAACACAACTTACTGGTTTCCTCCTAGGCATGACTGTCCATACCCACTACCGTTCTCATATCCATACCTGACACAAATCAATCGATCAGGATGGAGGGTGCTCCTCTGTGTTGGCGAATGATAATGAGTACGTTCATGCAAATCAAATGTGAAGCACAACTACATGCATTTCCTCTACGTTCCACAGAGCACCGTAATACCGCTCAACTATACGAGTAGAGCACAGTGTTATACTACAGGGCAATGCGTGAGAGGGGATCGGAATATGAAGCGTTTGATGCACTGTTCTTAATTCTTTATATAATCAGATACCACGAAACACAGATGGTCAGCAATACTCACCCAGGTGGACCAGCCAACTTGATCTTGGTAGAAGCGGATTTCCTCTGCCCTCCATAACCACCATAGCCAGAGTGGGGTCCAACAACCCCAAATGGGGGGTCGTAACTGGCACCATGACACTCAGCATAATCGAGCTTTCAATGCCCCTACCTCTGAACCGGAGCCCCATCTCGCCCCTCCAATATGAAGGGCGTAGCCGTCGGAGACCCGCAGGTAGTAGAAGAGG